GATATGCAGGAAGTGATTGGCACAGCCATAGCCATATATCTGCTGTCGAATAAAATGTAAGTACCCGTTCAAAAAGCATTGTACGATTTGTAAATATTTATTTATACATATTTAGCACTTTATTATTTCCTTTGTTTTTGAAATGACAAACAATGTCTTAATCGCTTTGTGCTGTAGAAAATTCCCCATACACATAGCTCAACTGATTGCAAGTACATATGTACATAAGTGGATAGATTCGTAGTTTTACATACAATGTTTCTTTTTTCTTTCTTCCAATTCAGCGTACCGCTATGGGGTGGAGTGTTAATAACAATTGTTGATACGTTTACGTTTTTATTTTTGGATAAATATGGTTTAAGAAAACTGGAATTTCTCTTCGGTTTTCTGATCACTGTGATGGCGGTTACTTTTGGTTATGAGGTAAGTGCAATAACCGTAAGTCGATAATATTTAACATAAATAATCTGTTTAATTAAACTAACTTATATTTTAGATAATTGCATTAAGCTTGTGTCCATTTTGTTTGATTTTTTATTTATTGGAAAAACGACATACGACTAATTTGCAAGGGTAGAAGTTATAGCTACTATTTCGGAGATCAACCTATTTCCTCACCAAACTTCTTCTGCATGAGGTCCTCTGAAGTTTACACCAATTTTAGACTAAAAACTAAACTAAACATAGTTCTGATATCATTTTCGCGTATGCACGATACCCTTAATTTCTTCAAATGGCCACTCAAATCGCCTCTTCCACAGCTTCTAACTCTTTTGTTCCACCCCCTTGAAACAGTTCATTTCCTAGGCTTGTTAAATCAGTTGAAGCATAATCTTCTCTTGACTCAACAATCTGTGTAGGAGTTAATATGGGACAGAACTCACAAAAATCCCAAAAATTTTTCAAACGTTTATTCTGAAATGAGTACTATTTCGGAAATTCGGCATACATTCTGAAAGTTACCCTGCGGGAATTAGAAACATATCGCAGACGTTCTTCAAAGGCACTTTAGCTCTCTTTCTAAGCTTGTTTGCATAAGTTTTAGCAAGATTTTGTTTCAAGGATGGAAAACATATATGATCTGTGTAAATTTTTAGAGCATAATATCAAAAATGATAAATTTTGAATTAAACAAAAGACTTTGAAGAACATCTGCGATGTCTGTTTTGAATTGAGAATCTTATCATTTTGCTGAAAACAAGATTTTCATTCGTTTTCTTCTTCGACAATTGTTCATAATCCACCACGCTGTTATCGATTTTTTGACCCGATCCAGTTGCTTAACTTTGCAAGCGTTAAGTGAGTTTTGTATCACGAAAACATTATACCGAGTTTATATGATATTTGTAAGCATAAAATAAATACTTATATATGTTAGGGTGCTTGACTCCAAAAAAACAAAAAAATCGGTACTGTTTTTCCTTCGGAATCATAAATTAAATTATAATTTGAGACCTCAGCCAAAACATTTCAAAAAATATTAAGTTGCACGTGATCTAAACCGGATGGAAAATTTCTTTCAAGAATAAGTTCTTTTATAAATAAAATTAGTTTTGAATAATATTTTTTCCAAAAAATCACTTATATGATAGAAGAGTTTAAGCTTAGAAGGTCTGAAATGAAATTTTTGGAGTAGATATTTTCAAATTAGTCCAGCTCACGTAAATCTTAATACTTTTTCGAAATAATTTGGCTTAAGTCTTAATAAATAATAAATTTTATAATACTGGTGGAAAAACTGTAAATTTTTTGGTGAATGGGCTACAAAATCGCATACTCAAAATCTTTCTAATACCGAATTTCCACTAGGCATTAAAATGACAAAAAATTAACGCCATCAAAAAAAAATCCCATGTGGAAATGAACTTAAGAAAGATTTTTGAATGTAATGACACCATTGTTTTTAAATGCCCGACTTTGTCATTTGTCATTTTTGCCATTTAATGCCTAGTGGAAATCCAGCATAAGAAATCGAATTAAAAAACTTGAAATTTTTACCAAAGCTGGTTGAATTTTTTTAATTTTGCACAAATTTTGAAAGCTGCATTTAAACGGTTTTTGTTAAAGAACACACTATACCTTATATTAAATTTAATTTTATTTTTTCTTTTTAACTCAGTTTTCAAAAACAATACACTACTAGAGAATAATAATTTTTTGCCAGATAACTTGAAAAACAGGCAGGTGTAAATATCCCAAATATCGGAAAAAACTTAATAAGTTTTCATAAGCCCGGACTATTTCTAAGAAATGGAAATAAAAAAAAATGAAATTTTTGCCAAAATTTGTATTATTTTTTTTGTTAAATATGGCACAAAGGAATAAACTACATTTTTATAAAAAAAATAGTTAAAATTTAATAACAAAAAACAAATTTGTTAAAACTTGTCATTTTGTGGTGCACTTATAATTTTGCCGCGGAGTGTACTATATATATCATATGAAAATTAATTTTATTAACGACTAAGTTAAAAATTAATACAATATTGGTAAAAAATTTATGGTTTTTGATAACTTCAAAATCTTATCAACATCGAATAATAAGGCTTGAGACGTTTGCCAAAATTTACTGATTTTTTCCTAATTATGCGCAGAGTTTGAAACTTGGATTTATGCGGCTTTTATTAAAGAATATTTAAACCATGAAGTTTATCTACTTTATAAAATTTAAACTTCCAGAGCAACTCAAATGCTCAAATGTTTTAGGGCACAATAGATCTCTTGGTCGCAGTGCATACCTCTATTAATTATAAAGGTGAAACAAAAAATAAATAGATGAAAATATAATTTTATTTTTTATTTGGGACTGAAAGTTAGAATTTAGGTGAGAGATTGAAAATTTTGAAACATTTTTGTTATGTTGGCAAACTTAATAATATTAAAAAAAAATTTATAAAAAAAAATTAAAAGAAATATTAAAAACAAGTAAGAGAGTCTAAGTTCGGGCGGAGCCGAACATTAAATACCCGGCGCAAGTATTAAATATATGTTTTCCACCTTTCCGAAAGCTACCGCTAGATGGTAAGCCGGGGTGTATCAATTTTGAGTAAATTAGCGTCCTTAAATTTCGAAATATTGAAGTTTCAAGCATATCTGAAATTTACCGTTATATGAAAAGCGGACGTAATTTTAGTCCGATTTTAATAGTTTTCAATGCTTTGCTTTTCTGTGGCAAGCACAATACCATATTGAGTTTGGTACAAATTGCTAGAACGATTAGCGAGATACATATATGTGATCACAAGTGGGCGGTGCCATGCCCATTTTCCAAAAATTTATCATAAACGTATTTCTTGGTAAAGAATTGTTGCAAGCATCAATTTTGAATAAATTAGCTTTAATATTTACTGATTTATCGAAGATTTTGTATTTCTCTAAATTACCGTTATATGGGATGTGACATGGTTATTGTCTGATTTTTTAAATTTTCGGCCATTTGGTATGCTGTACCAGGACCAACAACTGTGCCAAGATTGGAAGAAATTGGTGCAGCGGTTACCAAGATATACACATGTAACCATAAGTGGGCGTGGCTACGCCCATTTGCCAAAATGTTTTAATATTCTTATTTTTCGTCTAAAACTCATTGTAAATATCAATTTTGAGTGAATTATCTTTAGTAGTTACTAAAATATCGCACTTTTCGTATTTATTAAAATTACCGTTATATGGGAGGAAGGCGTGGTTATTGTCCGATTTCGCCAATACCATCCGTCCTACGCCCAAAAGAAGTCCACGTGCAAAGTTTCGTTAAGATATCTCAATTTTTACTCGAGATATCGTGTGCACAGACGGACGGACGGACAGACAGTCACCGCTTAATCGATTTCTCTTTTCATTCTGATCATTTATGTATACATTTGTCTATACCTATCTCGATTCGTTTTGCCTGCTACAAACAACCGTTATATAAACAAAGTTATAATTTGTGCACAAGTGCGCTCGGGTATAAAAATAATTTAATTTAATTTAAGGTCACTTCCGTGCTAGTCAAAACGGCCACCAATCTGGCCTAATGTGAGACATAGAAAGGTTCCGAAGTCAACACGTGTTGTCTAAATGTTGTCATCTCAATGATTTCCCATGGTTAATCAAACATTTTGAGCTCGAAATCGTAGAGCGACCTTTAAAGAGATTCGAGGGGAAAATCAACAGAAGACGATTTTCTTGCATACAGCCAATCTGAGTTTAAAGGAAGGCATTTGACTAAAACAATAAAATCTATTTTACGCATTCACTTGATCCGCACAACAGTACAGCAAAACAAATTCTGCCTTTAGATGAAAAAAAGGCCATTCTCCACATATTACGAAAATACTTGGTATTTTTCAAAAGCCCTGAATATGGATGATAACGTTGGAAGTTCGTTAAATTAAAAAAAAAATTCTAGGGTTAGAGGGGGCCCGTCTCATATTTAGTACCGGCACCGGACGACAATACAAGTTTATATTATTAAATGAAAAAAACTAACTAATAAAAGAACACCTGTAAAGTAATAAGTGTTTAAGTTTATTTTTTTGAAACCAGATAAAAGTTGGCCGTTATAAGTGGACCAACAGTTGGCGGCTATTGTAGTAGACAACTACGAAATTCCCACAGGCTATATATGTATATACATACATATCGAGCCCTAACTGCCAAAAACGTAAGCGAAATAGCCTCAAAAAGAAAATTTGGAAAACAAATTTCGCTTACGTTATTTTGGTGGTTAGGGTTCGATATTTTAAAAATTACTCATATACAGTCTTAGTTATACTATACTTAAATGCGAAAATGTCGGAAAAAGTTGCCGCTTTTGAAATCGGCACTTGCCGCGATTTTGAACTTCATGTATTCTAACTCGGGAACACTCCCCCAAAATAGTCTAATCGGAAATTCCATCGTTCCATACCGATTCAGTTAAATCTGGTTCAAGGACACCGTGGTAGTTATGCAAGTAACAAAAGTAATTTCGTTTCATTTCAATTAAACAGTTTATAACAAACAATTATTTAAGGAGATGACTAAGTTTGTTTACAAATTATATTTCAAAACGGATTACGTTATTTTATTCGGTTTCATTTTACTTTCGTTTAAATGAATTAAATTTAATTTTATTTTGTTAAAAAAATTTTGCTGTATCGCTAAAAAACAAACTGCTTAGACATATGTATTTACTCCCATAATTCTACAACACGTACTTAGAAACAATCACACAAACATACATATATACATGTCTATATGCAACTTATTATGCAAATTTCTATTGAGGCGCGTGCGACCGTAACTACTTCGTATGTAGCGCGCCATCAACACGTTTTCCTCAGCTCAAACGATCTCAATATAAAAATTACCCCTTTTAATAATAACTTCCGTTTGCACAGCTTTGCCAATGTTTTTTCAAGCTATTTTGGCTTTGTTTTTGTTTACATACATTCATACACACTTTCATACATTATTATACCCAGTGGGAAAAGTAGTGCATAATGCATTACATGCTTGATAAATAATTACTGTATTTCTTATGAGTTCTAGATTCTATTACTATTTAATATGCAATCAGTATTCTAGTGTATCCAAACATCATTCCTGCATTACTGGTATTGCAAAACTGAAAGCCCCACTTTTCTTAGAACATCGCTGTGGGAAAACTAATGCATTTTCGAATGTGAAAACGGCTGTTTAACTTATGATTTTTTCGATTACCATACAATACATTTTCCCACTGGGTGTGTATGTATGTATTTTCATATGTACTAAGTAGGTGTGAACTAAAAATGTGCTTATTTTTGATGTACATAGGTAAATTTTTATGTTTAATTGTATTTGTATGGGGTTTAACGACTTTGCCGTTTTCTACACATGATTTTAGTTATTTAAAAAATTTAGCTAAGCTTTATGTTCATAGGCTGTCAATAAATGTATGTATGTATGTAGACTTTGGTACAAATATGTTGATAAGAATTTTATTTCATAATTTTTGCATTTGTATAATAATTCTAACTTGAAGATTTCCGAAAGTACATACTAATTAAAACATGTACGGTGTCATTATTGACATGAAATATATACGAAACTTTTTTCTAGCGCAGCTGGCAGTTACGATAGGTATACGATTCATGATTTTGTGAGTAGTGTGCATTTCATATTTTTCCCTAATTTATTGCGTCAGGTTTTGTATTCTGTTTTTACTTCTAACTGATCTTAATATCCATAGCTTTTTAAAAAATTTGTGGGCAATTCCATTGTGACTGTTGGGACACTTGACTCTAGAATGTGATGAATTGTGAATTATAACTATGTCGACGAAACGTATAAACCACTGAATTATATCTTTTAACATAGATAAATAACTAACATGTAAAATGCCTTCCAAAAAATACCAAACAATTTCTAGGTTCCTTATAACTATTATTTGATTTGTCGTTGTCCTCTTTTACATGGAATGACCCATGTCTAAATAAAAATGTTTTAAAAGAACAACTTTATTCGAAATAAAAATTTCTGCTTCATGTTTTTATTATAACAAAGATATGCTTTTCTGAAAATTTCCTAAATTCAAACTTGTTCTTCCAATATTTTATATTTGCCACTTTTTCAACGTAAGTGACGTCTTTATCTGTTTATCTGCTAATTATATTTGAGTTTTTATAAAGTACTTATGTACGTATTCGTCAAAGCTAACTGTAGAAAACACTCCCTTACATATCAGGAAAGATGTTAAATTTAGTATGCGTGTTTTTCAGTGCAAATTTAACAAGAAACTATAAATGTCGCCGAGTAAATTATTACAAATTCACACTCATAAATTTTCACTCATTAGATCTCCTATCAGCCTCCCACATGTACGGGAACTTTTCTCCATATAAATTCTTATCAGTTGCCGCCCCATTTGACAAATAAATAAACAAGTCAAGTATTAAATGCATACATACATACATACATACATACATACATACATATACATATGTACATATATATGTCGTTATATGAAAGTTAATATCTCCTCGTGTTGGAAAGGCTTGTAAGTGAATATGGGCGATTCCAGCGAAAAGTCTACCGCGAAAAAAATAAAGTAAAAGTCCTATATCCAACTTATTCATAGGTCGATTTGGCTGCGTTTTATAATTATAAATTTTGTCCGCCTTCATTTGGCGATTGTACCAAACCGATTTCAAAACCAAGAACACCATTGGAAAAGTATTTTTCTGTAGATGAGGAGGGTTTTTATAGTTTCAAAATTGGCCAAAATCGTGGTTTAAAAATCTCCGTATTTGTGTATAGTTGTTGTTGGAACTAGTTTAATTGGAAATGTTTTCCTATTTGAAATTTTAAAATTGAGAAGTACATAAGAATTAGGGTAACTGAAAGGGTAAGAAGATTTATTGAAATTTTTCGATAGGAATCGAATCAAATTCTGACATAAACAAGTAAGAAAGTCTAAGTTCGGGCGGAACCGAACATTAAATACCCGGCGCCAGTATTTAATATATGATTTTCACCTTTCCGAAAGCTACCGCTACATGGTAAGCCGGGGCGTATCAATTTTGAGTAAATTAGAGTCCTTAAATTTCGAAATTTTGAAGTTTCAAGCAGTTCTGAAATTTACCGTTATATGAAAAGCGGCCTCAATTTTAGTCCGACAAATTTTTTTTTTACTTTTATTTCAACATATTTTGATTAAAAAAAAATACCGTTAAAAATAAAATATTTCACACAAACAACAAAAAATAAAATAGATAATCCCATGAGGCTATTGCCTGAAAATTTTAAAATGCACTTAGTGGCATTGTGCTACTCTGATAGCACGGCCGAGTAATCATAGTCAACTTATGTATAGTAGACTTCATCTCCCCATACAAAAAAAAATCGGTACTATTTTTCACTGGAATTATAAAATCTATTATATTTTAAGATTTCCGCCAAAATATCTCGCAAAAATACTAAGATTTACGTTAGGTGGACGGATTTGAAAATACCTCCAAAAATTGAGTTTTTTATTAATAAAAACAGTTTTTTTAAATATTTTTTGAAAACATTACCTCAGATGACTAAACAGTTTAAGCTTAAAAAGTTTGCATAAGACTATTTAAAAAAAATTCTTTTCTATAATTGTTTCCTTATAGAATGGTTGGTTTCTTTTCCATCATCTATTAAAAAACAACACTTACGGGGCAATGTTTATTGTAAGAACAAAATTTTTTTCTATGAATCGACATACTTTAAGCATTGTTGACGTTATTTCCATTTGAATGAGGAAATAGCGTCAATGGCTTTATACCCAAATTTTTGTTGACTTTATTTCGCTTTTGAAAAGGTAATAATGTCAATTGACTTTATTTCGCATCAGGGTGGGAAATATAGTCAATTGACCTTATTTCCGTTGATCTTGCTACCTGTCACCGAAAAATATTACACTTGTAGTATAGAAGCAATTTGAAGTACAAAAAAAAAACGATTGGGGTCACAAAATTGCCCAAAGAAAGCTTTTAGTTAAAGTTAAATTAACATTGGGAAGCGAACTGAATTCTAGTATGGCGGTGTATTTGAGAGCACACTAACTGAATATCAAAACAAATAGTTTCAAGGATACATCTAAAATAGTCTATTTGCATTAATTATGATGATGTGCACCTATGTATGCTGCTCAGATTTACAATGTCAATCAAGCAAACTATCTTCAACTCTAAAATTTGTAGTCTTACTTTGTTTTTAATTTTTTATCTTGACATTAGACAGTGTAGTTCGCAAATACATATGTATTTATGTACATAAATACATACTTCCATACATATGTGCATACATACATAGGTGGAGTAGTTAATTTACAATGCCCAAGATAAAAACGTTGACTTTCGTGAAATGAATTTCCTGGCAGAAATGATAAAATATTTTTACAACACCAGCATTTACATACATACATAGGTATGTTTGAGCATACACGCATTCTTATCAATAGCAAACAGTAGACAGCAAAAATATGTAAATCAATCTCCTTGAATGTGTATATTAGAGCGTTTTACAATGTCTTGTCCAAAAAAAAGTTCAATTTGTTCCAAGCCATTTGAACACTCACTAGAGTATTTCAAGAAAGTAAAAAAAAAATTGCCATCCTGTAAAAACAGCTAAATCGTTTTGTGAGATGTCCGATTTATATAAATTATACATCTAGTAAAAGGTATTGTAATCAGAATAAATATTTTATGGATATAAGTTTTATGTATCGTTCTAGTTCAGTATATTAGGGTGTTCCAACATTTTTTTCTAGCTACCCCTCATGCTTCTCAAAAAAATACAATCGCCGGAGTAGGGGTAAAACTGTAGGTCC